CGTGAAGCTATCAATCAAAACAAACACGTGAAGCTATCAGTCAAAACAAACACGTGAAGCTATCTGTCAAAACAAACAGATGAAGCTATCAGTCAAAACAAACAGGTGAAGCTATCAGTCAGAACAAGCACAAACTGGGATAGATATGATTTTAAGCCAGGGCCAATAGAATGCAGGTGGGACGAAGCGTAGGGTGTGTGGGGCGTATGGGGTGAGAAGGGCGTGAGAGTAGACTGACTAACGACTGGGTGAGGGACGAATGCAGTGGAATGGGTGTGCACCTGGTCAGAAATAAATAGGTGCAGCTGGAATGGACAAACACTCATAATTTGTTGGGATGGATGGTAGAGTGGTGGTGAATGGTAAAATCCAATGGCGTGGTGCTGTGAAGGTGTTTAACGTTAGAAGTAGGCGAGTGAGAGTAACTAGAATGTGTGCTACTACAGAGACGTCTATTTAAACCGACTCGCCCCCAAGTAAACTCAACGATATGATTGGCTGCAATGTCAAACCTCATAATATGATTGGATGCAGTGTTGGAGTTCATAATATGATTGGCTACTACAATGTTGGAGCTCATAGGCCGACTAAGCACACTCGCCTCGCCACTGAGGGACGCAGTCGTGGCTATACTATACACTCTAAAACTCCAACGCACACGAACATATCCGTCCCAACCACCACGATAGTCCCGTCATGTACACAATATACTAGTATACAAACCCGCTATAAGGCTTATCAGTACACAGGTACACACACAATCACTCATATCAGTCACCCAGGTTAGTATACAAACCCACTATAAGGCTTATCAGTACACAGGTACACATAATCACTCATATCAGTCACCCAGGTTGTACCTTTGCTGGTCGTGTGTGTTTCGCCAATGCTTGTATTGCTGTTATTCCTATTCGAAGTGCCATCTTGAGGAGCTCTGGCGGAGGGAGGAGACGCGCCGCCACTTTCTGGTTCTGTAGGAGATAACCCGAATCAAAGGCCGAATTAGTACGAGACGAGACCAG